CATGTGGGGACTCCAGGATCACGTCCTGGGCGGAAGGCAGGCGCTAAACCGCTGAGCCACCCAGGGATCCCCCATTACCTAGATTTTAAAACGTGAAACACACCCGGAGCAATGGTTCTCAAAGCAAAGTTGTCAGATCTTAGGGTCTCTGAGACTCTTGGGGATCCATGAGGTCAAAACTATTTCATAATACTTAGACTTCCTTTGCCTTTTCACTGTGTTGAATCTCTGCACTGATGCTATAAAGTGAAGTGGTGGGTGGTTTGAGGCTCTGCCACCAAACTGTATTGCTATCATTATTCTTTATCATCATAAATTTACAGTTAAAAAAAGCATTTTCTCAAACTTTTTAGAAGTGAAAACAAGAAAAGTGGTTGCCAGGGACTAGGGGGAGGGTATGTGGAAAGGGGGAGGTGTTATTCAATAGGTAGAGAGTTTCAGTTTAGCAAGATGAAAAAGTACTAGAAATCTGTTATACTGCAGTGTGCATATAGTGACTACTGAACTGTACACTTAAACATGGCTAAAAAAGGGTCCATTTTGTTTTTTTTAAAGTATATATATATTTTTTATTTTTTTATATTTTTAAGTATATATATACTTATATATACTATGTATATACTATATATATATACATATATATATATTTTTAAGTAATCGCTACGCCCAATGTGGGCCTTGAACTCACCCTGAGATCAAGGGCCGTGCTCTTCCAACTGAGCCAGTTAGGTGCCACCTCCCTCTGACAAAAGCACATTTTATGTTATGTGTTTTTTACCATGGTAAAAAAGAATATCCATAGCAAATTAAAATTAGAGTCAGCTTGCTCTAAGAATGCCCTTGGTGGAGAAATAAAAGTCATTAATTTCATTCTCAACTTTTGAGTATCCATCTTCCTAGAATTTTGTGTGACAAAGTGAGAAGTACATATAAAGTACTTTTGCAGATGCAAAAGACAGCATTTGTCTCCAGGAAAAGCACTTGTATAATCGTTTTGAGTTGTGAGCTGGAATAGCCACATTTTTTCATGAAATACTCTTTAACTTGAGAAAATGAATGTCATCTTTATGAACGGTGTGGGGTTGGATTTTCTTATTTACTTAAATCAAAACAACAGATAGCAACAGATCCAATACAGGAGCAAATTGAGAAATGGACTATCATCTATTAAATCAGAAATTAAAGGGATTTGAAAAAAATGTAGAACAATGCCATTCTTCTTCTTAATTATTTTGGAAAATAGTTATTTTTCACAAAAACACATTATTAACATGTATTGGGGTTATTTTGAAATGTATTATTTCTTTATAAGATTATAATTAATGATATAAATTATAAAAAGATTTAAATTTTCCTCCAGTTTTAATTTTAGTACATCAATAGATATCATAAATAGATATAAAAGTTCTTTGCGGGGGCAGCCCAGGTGGCTCAGGGGTTTAGCACCGCCTTCGGCCCAGGGCCTGATCCTGGAGACCCAGGATCAAGTCGCACGTCAGGCTCCCCTCATGGAGCCTGCTTCTCCCTTTGCCTGTGTCTCTGCCTCTCTCTCTCTCTCTCTCTCTCTCTCTCATAAATAAATAAAATCTTCAAAAAAAAAGTTCTTTGGGATTCTGAATAATTTTTAAAATTGTAAAGGAGTTACAAAACCAAAATATTTGAGAACCAGGAGGCTTTTTGGTTTTATTTTGTTTTTTAAAGACTTTATTTATTCATGAGAGACACACAGAGAGAGGCAGAGAAATAGGCAGAGGGAGAAGTATGCTTCCTGCAGAGAGCCTGATGTGGGACTTGATCCCAGGACCCCGGGATCACAACCTGAGCCAAAGGCAGATGCTTGACCACTGAGCCACCCAGGTACCCCAGAGAACCAGGAGTTTAAAGAAGATAAATAATTCTATTTCTCTGTCCATATTACCAATATTCAGCTCCTATTCAATCATTCATTCAACATTTACTTAGTGATTTATGTGATTTATTTGCTAAGTATTGTGCTAGACACTGGGGTCTCTGACATAAAACTTTTTAAAAAAAGATTTTTATTTTTAAGTGATCTCTACATCCAAGTGGGGCTTGAACTTACAACCCCAAGATCAAGACTCGCAGGTTCTACCAACTGAGCAAGCCAGGTGCTGACTTGTGACATGAAATACTTTGCTGTCTGGGAGATCCCACAGTGGGAGAAATAGACAAGCCAGCAAATTACATTACCACTTGATGAGTGCTGTATGCTGAGAACACAAAGGACAGGGCAACTGAACAATCTGCTCAAGGCTGAAGGCATTTTTCTGGGAGTTAAAATTTGACCTCAAACTTGAAGGGGTAAAGGAGTGGGGTATGGACAATGACAGCATTGCAGGCTGAGGAGCTAGCAGGACTATGGTCTTCTGGGAAGGGTAAGAAGTCAGCTTGATGAGGAACATGGAAGGAAGAAGTGCCTGAACTTTTCTTCATGAGAAGAGAAAGTAGGTAAATGCTAACTTATAAAATATGTTGTAGTCCAGGCCAAAGAGTTTAAATTTTCTCTTGCAGGCAACTAGGGACCAATAGGTTTTGAAGTAAAGGATTGGTAATGACCAGCTTTGCATTTTAGAAAGGTAATTCTAGTGGCAATATTGGAGGATAGATTGGAGAGATCAGAGGTTATAAAGTTCCATTAAACAATGTTGGCTTTGAACTTTGATGGTAAACAAGGCAAGAGGAGATCTAGGAATTGAGACATTTCTGAGGTAAGAATGCATGGAATTTATTGTCCCACTGGACCTGAAAAAAGAGGAACTTGCAGATAATACCAAAGTTTCAGGCTTATGACAGTGAGCATCATGGTGGTCCTCTAATTCTGGTGATTAAGAAGGTAGGCTGTGAAGGTAGACAGTAAGGTCCACATTGGAGGTGCAGAGGAATTCCCTGGGGAACATTTGGGTGCGTAGATGTCCAAAGGGCAACTGGATATTGGGTTAGATTCCAGCAAGAAATCTAAGTTGCAGATAAAGATGTAGAAGTTGTCAGAATAAGAGTGGTGGCTGATGTCACCTTGGGAGAGCAGGAAGAGTCACAAAAGGACATGAAAACCCATTTAAATGCTGGTCAGAGAAGAAGCCAGCAGGGCAGAGAAAGCATGACCAGAGAACTGGGAGACAGTGGGGTCTGGGAAGCCAAGGAAGAAGTTTTGAGGACTAGTTTTGGCCCAAGCGTCAGATGCTGTAGAGGAATCAAATACATTACGAGCTGAAAACAGGTTTAGGAGGTGGCAGTTAACTGAGAAGTCACTGGTGACCTTAGACTAAACCACTTTAGTTCGGATTTAGTTTAGATTTTGATGAGGTGAGTGACTATAACCTTAGAAATGGAAAGCAGTGTGTACAGACCAGAGGTCATAAGCCAATGTCAAGAAGCCTGTTCAGTTTATATCACTTTTTTCTCCATCTGTCACTCATTTAGCTCAACCGCTTGGACTGTACAGGAATTTAAGTGAACATCAGAAGAGGTTACATAAAGGGAGTGTAGAAAAAGCTTGAGATAGTGGGATGCTTCTGTGGCTCACCTTTGGTTCAGGGCATGATCCTGGAGTCCCGGGATCAAGTCCCCCCATCAGGCTCCCTGCAGGAAGCCTGCTTCTCCCTCTGCCTATCTCTGTGTTTCTCATGAATAAATAAATTATTATTTTTTTTTGAATAAATAAATTATTTAAAAAAAAGCTGGAGGTAGGGCAATAGGTTTAGAAGGTTAAGGGAAGATTTCTTCTGAGGCTGATGGATAGGAAGGCAGGTGATAAACATTGAATGAATGAATGAATGAATGAATGAACGAATGGTGTGTCTCTTCAGTACCAAATGGAGGAAAAATAAGGATGTTTATTTCTGCCAGATGACCTCTATACTTTGTTGGGGGAAGAAATTAATGCTATCTACACAACTGATAAGTGGAGCAAGTGGCCCAGGTTGCTGGTGGTTCCTGTTTTACCCTTCATGCCTCCTAGAGCTAGAATTGAATAGAGCCTTGAAGCAGTGGCGTAGGCCGTGTTTTTGTTTCAGGGCTTGGCTTTTCTTTGTTGTGCATTCTCATCCTTCATAGGTATACTTCCTATCGCATCCCCTCCCATTCAGCATCTCCTGTACTTGCCCTTTCTCGGTCTCCAGTTATAGTCCTCCCTCTCCTAGGAACACTAAGTCTGTAAGGACTGTAAATTCTTTGATCATTTCAGCAAACACTGAGCAATGTGCACCTTCAAAATACCCTTCTGTAGACAATGCTTAACCTCAAAAGAGCAATGGCAATTTGAGACCTCTTTGGAGCTTTGGCCCTGTTTGGGTTTGGTCTTTAGAGGGCTGGAAGGAAAACCACGTAGCAAGTGGAATCACTTCTGAGCAGTTTTGACTCATGGTTTCTTTTAACTCTTGGTAAAGGCTGGTGTACTAATCAGAGCCATTCTCTCAAGTGATAGGAGGAAAGTGAGTCATTTGGCGAGGCCACCTGGATAGAAACTGGGCTGCTTGCCAGAGGAATACACTAGGACTGTCCTACTGTGCTGTAGTCTACTTATATATGGTTCATACACAGTTAAATCCTTGCAGGGACAACTGATTGGGATGCAACTGCTTATCCTTAAATATATACAAAGAGTGACTACATATTTTGCCTTGACCTTTGGGAAGGGACTTTCACCTCCCAGGTTCTTCACTGGCAATAGGAGTGTATTTTCTCAGACTAGGGGTGGGAGAGGATAAAGGATCTGTGCCATACTTGGTACATACCACGGGGCGGGGTGGGGCTTGTCACAGTTGGCTTTCCTCTGCTGCATATTCTTTTTCCATACGTGTGCAGACACAAACATGACCGACCTTATCTCTGGGTACATTTAGTATTCTTGGTATTATTTTTTTCCCATCATCTACTTCTCATTTAGGGTGTCCAGCAGTATTTTAGGTATTGTTTATAAGCTATCTTAAATCTTTTGGAATAAGATAGAACATTAAAAAAATAAGCACTTCACACCAGAATAGTATAGTTTGACTTTTTTTTAATTCTAAAATACTTTATAATTAATATTGATAGGAAGACTGATATACAATGCAATTATTTACTTTACAAGGAGATTCTGTACATCAGGGAAGCATCTTGAAGTACAATACATCAGACTTTTATTTCTTTTTTACATTTTGATTGTGAATTGTTACTTATACAAAAAGGGAACACAGATCCATTACATATATATATATATATATAAACACCTGAAAAGACTTGACCCCCAAAGTATCTTGTTTCAAAAGAACATGATGAGATGAAAGACAAAGTAGAGTCCCTGGCGGCACACAGAGCAGACTTGGCTCAGGAAATCAAATCCTGTTTCAAACTTGGCACATTAAGGGAAAGTCAGGCAGTGGAAGAAGGGTTTGAAAATGCCACCTCAAGCCATAGAGAATGCTGGCATAAGCCAGACAGCCTCCAAACCAACGGAGAGAGGAAGTCATGTGTGTGGCCACATTATGTACAGGCCTCTAACCACTGTGCAGAATCGTCACTTATCTTACTGTAGTCACGCCAAATGTCAGGAGCTTCAAGGAGCTATGGACCCACTGTAGTTCCATAGCTGCAGAGCATCTAATGGTAACTGAGAAATCTGAATACTTTGTTATTTCCCTTACAGAGAGAAGACACTATCTTTTAAGGTCACCTCAGCTCTTCTGTTTTGACCTGATATTCTGATTTTTCAGCAAATAGTATATGGCCATAAAAGAACATCTACTGAACAGTTCCAACAGAACAGGGATCGCAGAAGGATCTAGGATACAGCCACAACTTTCTGAACATTAAAGTAAGGGGGGAAAAAAGCCAAATTTATCAGTTAAATAGGAAATATTTTTTTTTCTTCCACTTAGTATGAACAGATATTAGAAGGAAATGGTAAGGCTGTATGGTTTGCAAAATAAAAACTCAAAGAAAACAATTTTCTGCTTTAGGAAATCATATTAATATATATTACAAATACAAAAAGGGGCGGGGGCTGAGTCAAGGCCTGGGCACCAATGACACCGGCTACTGCTTGGCAGAGGAGAGATAAAGTGAGGCAGAAGCTGCCAGAGGATCAGCAGGTGGAGGCTGGGGGGGCGGGGGGCGGTAGTGGGGGAGAGAGAGGGCCAACAGCATGGAGAAGGGAGGAGGAGCTGGTCATGATTGTGCCCCTCCTACTTCCTCCTCCAGAGACTTCTGGTCCAGCACCTGGACCCCGTGGCCCTAGACCTTGTAGTGATTCTGGCTGAAGTGTGGGGCCCCAAAGCAGATGGCTGCTCCCACAGAGTTGAGGAGGAGAATATATCTATTGGTCAGATGAGTTCCAATATCATTTGGTATGACAAAAGTACAACAGCTTATAAAATTTAAGCCATGAGTTAGTTTTCTGCCAAGTTGGCATTAATGATAAAGGCCTTTTTTGGTTTTGGTTTTGTATATAGAAAACATATATGTTTTCTCATTTTCCTGACTTGGAATCTAGTTGCAGCTCAAAACTTAAGTTTCCAGCACCTCTTCAAGATTTTTTTTTTAATTTTAAAAATAAAAATCAGGATGACTTGTGCCAAAATGGAAGAGCATGTCAGATCCTGAGCTTCTTTCAGACTGGACTGCCTGAAGAGGACTATATTGCTGTGTTGAGAGGTATAGTGCAGTGCTTTCAACTAACATGCCAGTGCAGTATGGAGGGGTGCCCTGGAGGTGGGGTACCCTTTGCCAGAAGGCTGAGGGCCTCCAGAAGGTTCTTCCCACCACCAGGTGGATTGGACATTGGTCTGATCCAATGATCAGGGATTTGGTCTTCCACAAGGAGATCTTACAACCAGGACAGAGCAGATAAGGCTAATGGTGCCTAGCACAGGCAGTCATCTTGGGGCAAGGGTGTGGGTGGCCCAGAGCACGGGTGGCTGGTGAGGAGGACCCCTCAAGTATGCTGCAATATTGAAAGTTCAAAAGCACTGACAAAGTGTTCAGTTTTGCCCAGAGTAGCACATGACCACCCATTCCAGTGAAATGCTACATTCATATAAGTGCTGTTCGCCCCAGAACTACATCCCAGACGACTCAATCCTGGTTGTGCTGGGAAGTGCAGATATTCCTTCCACATTGCTCTGAGACTGAAGCAGCCAAGCAGCCCTGTTTTGGGGGTTGTGTAGTTCCTCTCTCAGACTTCAGCATCATGGACGATGGTAGCTAAAACAAGATGAGCAAAAAACTCCAGTTACCAGATACCGATGCTTTGCTATTATGTTAATAGTAATGAAATGTTACACTCTTAATATTCAAAATTGTCTCTCTGCTACTCTAATTCTACCTTTTTTTTTTTTTTAAAGATTTTATTTATTTATTTATTTATTCATAGAGACACAGGGAGAGGCAGAGACACAGGCAGAGGGAGAAGCAGGCTCCATGCAGAGAGCCTGACGCCGGACTTGATCCAGGGTCTCCAGGATCACGCCCTGGGCTGCAGGCGGCGCTAAACCGCTGCGCCACTGGGGCTGCCCCTACCTGACTTTTCTTCTTTTCTTTAAAGTAACCTCCACACCCACTGTGGGGCTTGAACTCACAGACCTCAAGATCAGATGCTCTACTGACAGCCAGCCAGGTACCCTGTTTTCCTTCTTCTTTAATTGCTTTTCCTCAGAATGCTTTCCTGGCTCATTTTCCTCTGTCCATCCTTTAGACACAAACAATTTTCCCCTTAAGAACCACCATCTTTCCTCATAATTTTATACCTTTCTTTTTAAGATTGATTTATTCATGAGAGACACACACACACACACACAGAGAGAGAGAGAGAGAGAGAGGCAGAGACATAGGGAGAGGGAGAAGCAGGCTCCCCACAGGGAGCCTGATGCAGGACTCGATCCTGGATCCCAGGATCACGCCCTGAGCTAAAGGCAAAGGCTCAACCGCTGAGCCACCCAGGCGTCCCTCATAAAACTTTATACCGGGGAACCCTGGGTGGCTCAGTGGTTTCGCGCCTGCCTTTGGCCCAGGGCGCGATCCTGGAGACCCGGGATCGAGTCCCGCGTTGGGCTCCCGGCATGGAGCCTGCTTCTCCCTCTGCCTGTGTCTGCCTCTCTCTCTCTCTATCATAAATAAATAAAAATAAATCTTTAAAACTTTATACCTTGAGGCTCTGCTTTTTTTTTTTTTTTTTGATACCTGGACTCTTGGTCTGAATATCCAACTGTCTTCTAGGCATCTCCACCTCAATGTGTCACAGGTTTGTCAAACTCTTCCAGTTTACTGTCTGCCTTCCCCTTTTAGAATAAAAGCTCATTGAGGTGGAGACATTATCTTGTTCCAGGCTATATTCTGAGCACCAAGTACTGCTATCTACCAGGTAGCAGGTATTGAATAAATATGTGCTGAATAAATATCTTAAAGAGTTCACCTCAACTCCTCATCGACTTCACACATTTCAAAAATCACAAGTTTGAAATCTTAAGAGTCACCTAACTACCTCCTTTAATTTATCCCTGGAATCAAGAGATTGCCCAATGTTGAGTTTATGCTTGAAATAAAAAAAATATATATATCTGGTTTCTGTGCTGCTAGTTTCATCCTACATATTCGACCAGAGCTCCACCTGAAACACTCACACTCCAGTGGTTCCAATGTCCTAGTGTAACAGTCCAAGCTCATTGTGCTGGTCTCCTCTTAACACTGCTCTCGTATGTGTCCTGCTCCAGCACAATGCGCGCAGAGACAATGCACACCTTCTCACCTCCGACAGCCTTGTTAATGCCAGTCCTTCTGTTTATAACGCTGTTTGGTAATGCTGGTTCCTTCCTTTTGGTCCAAATAAATTCTTTCATATGCTTTAAGATCCAGTCTAGGCGGCACCTTCTCTAGGACTCTTTCCTTTAATGTTGCTCACTCTAGTACTTTATTACTATTATAATAACAATGAGAATGGCTAACACTGACATAGTTAGGAAATGGTAGACTTTCAATACGAAACCTGGCAGATTTAAGACTCAGGACAGCTGAGGTGTTTATCATATCGACTGTACTATACTGAGTAGTACACAGGTCTTTTTCCAGATTAGATGACAGTTCCCTGCTGGAAAGCAAGGTTTATTATTTGAGTTCATATTACAATGCCCTGAATAGTGTCACTGTTGTTAAAAAAATTTGCCTTCTCTATTCCTATCAGAGTTTGGCACAAAAAATTCTGTAATTAAAAGAACCAGGGCACTTGGGTGGCTCAGTTGGTTGAGTGTCCACCAACTCTTGGTTTCAGCTCAGGTCATAGTCTCAGGGTCATGGGATCGAGCCCCGAGTCAGGCTCTGTGCTCACTTTGCTTGAGCTTCTTCTGTCCCTCTCTCTCTGCCCCTCCCCCCACTCACACATGTTCCCTCTATAATAAATAAATAAATAAATAAATAAATAAATAAATAAATAAATATATTTTAAAGAGCTTATTTATTTATTCATGAGAGAGAGAGAGAGAGAGAGAGAGAGAGAGGCAGAACACAGGCAGAGGGGAAGCAGGCTCCATGCAGGAAGCCTGACGTGGGACTGGATCCTGTGACTCTAGGACCACGCCCTGGGCCGAAGGCAGGCACTAAACCGCTGAGCCATTCAGGGATCCCTGAATAAATAAATCTTAAAAAAGAACAATCTGCCTGTATTGTGATGGAAAAATGTTTAACAATATTTTATGTTCCAACTTTGCTAATTTGTTTCTTATAGCAAACTTTAATTCTCATTGTATCAACTCCCTTCATTTAACCTTTAAAAATTTTTTATTATTAAAAAATTAATTTAGTTATTTTTTATTAAAGATTTTTTATTTTATTTTATTTATTCATGAGAGATACAGAGAAAGAGAGGGGCAGAGACACAAGAGGGAGAAGCAGGCTCCTTGCAAGGAGCCTGATGTGGAACTCGATCCCAGGACCATGGGATCACGCCCTGAGCTGAAGGCAGACATTCAATCGCTGAGCCATCCAGGAGTCCCAAGCCTTTTTTTTTTTTTTTTAAAGATTTTATTTATTTGACAGAGAGAGAGAGAGAGAGATAGTGCACATAAGCAGGGAGAGTGGTAGAGGGAGAGGGAGAAGCAGGCTCCCCGCTGAGCAGGGAGCCCTATGCAGGGCTCCATTCCAGGACCCTGAATTCATGACCTGAATTGAAGGCAGACACTGAACCGATGAGCAACCCAGGTGCCCCATCCTATTTTTTTTTTTTAACTTTATTTTTAGTTATTTCTACACCCAACAACATGGGGCTTAAACTCATGACCCTGGAGATTAAGAGTTGCATGCTCTTCCAACTGAGGCTGCCAGGTGCCCTTTGCATCTTTACTTACACACTTTTACTGATTGCATTTGTATCCAGCTGATTCTTTAGGCATTGGGTGAGTCCTTAGTTACAACAGTAATTCCACATCAAAATATTTATTGGCCTATTTCACAAAAGCAGCTAATTCAAAACTTGTATCAGACCAGCAGTGCTAGAAATAACTGAGATCAAAGAGGCTGACGTCTTGCCTAACTCAACAACAATTCCCTCATACATACCCTGGGATGGTGAGGTGCAGGAAGAGAGCTCCCAGGGACTTTCATTAGTTATTTCTTTCTCCAGTCCTGCTTCTGCAACTTGATTAACCCTTCTGAGCCTGTTTCTTTTTTCTTTCTTTCCTTTTTTTTTTTTTAATTTTATTTATTTATTCATGAGAGACACAGAGAGAGAGGCAGAGACATTGGCAGAGGGAGAAGCAGGCTCCCTGCGGGAAGCCTGATGTGGGACTTGATCCTGGGACTTCGGGATCACGACCTGAGCCAAAGGCAGATGCTCAACCACTGAGTCACCCAGGCGTCCCTCTTTTTTCTTTTTTAAGTAAGCTCTACACCCAGTGGGGTTTGAACTCACAACCTCCAGATCAAGAGTCTCATGCTCTACCAACTGAGCCAGCCAGGTACCCCCAACCTGTTTTTTCGTCAACAAAATGGAGATATTAACAAAGCCTGCAGGCTCATTGCAAGGATTAAATACTATATATTTCACTTAGTATAGGCACTTCCTACTGCCTCTTAGTCCTCATTTCTTTCTCTTAATGTAGTCTTGCAGTCAACATGCTGTGTCCTTTTTTTTGTTTCTTGTGTGTGTGTCCTTCTTTTAATGATGTCATTAGAGTCCTTCCCATCTGAACAACTCTGGTATTTGTGGTGGAGCTCTATATAGCTTGCAGTACTTGTGGTGGAGCTCTATATAGCTTGCAGTACTTGTGTCTTTTGGGTCTTACCGTGTAAAATGTTTGCTCTCTTCATGAACCTCCATCTCTGAGCTTTTAAATTCATTTAATTCTTTTCTTATAGCAGCCTGTGGAGTAGAAACAAAAATGTTTCAGCATCTTCTGTCTGCCATAGTATAGCAGTGTCATTTGCCATCTGTTCTCTATTGTGCTTAACTTCATGAGCCAGTGCAAACTGCAGTGGGCAACCCTGAGTGAGGAAAGAAGCCAGGTCCACACACTAAGCCTGATACATGTCGCCTTCTCTGACACCACTCATAGCCTAATGAACCAAGTATCTCTACTTAAAACACTCACAGAGCTAAAAAGAGATATTGCAGCTTTTATAGTTTCCACAACACATAAAAATGCTTTTCCTGTTATAAAGGTGAAATACAAGTAACTATTAAAATCTACCACCCAAACTCCCTCCAACCAAACATAACCACTGTTAAAGTGTGTTTTAATTTCCTTCCAGATTTGTGGACTCTGTGCTACAGCAAGAATTTTCTTTTGGTTGTGGTGGTCCTGGTGGTGGTAGAGTTATTAGTATAGAGTTTTACACATCTTGGCATTTTGTATCTTGATTAGAAATTCAACATTATATCAAAAGTGAAAATTTCATGGTTTTCCCTTCTAGTTAGTGTCTTACTTTCTTCAAATAGAGAGAGACACACACACAAACAGCCACCTACCTTGTCAGCAGGAGTCAGTTTGGTCCAAGGTTTGTCGGCTCGCCGGTCATAATCTTGAGCATCTGTTACCTCCACATATTCATTAAACCTCAAAATCTTCCTGGCAAGTAGTTCAGCCACAGTTGGCCTTTGACTGAGCTGAAAGACATAGAGCCTCTTAATTTACTACGCCAGGAATTAGGCATTAATCATGCATTCAAATTGCCTCCAACCTAGTGCTTCAACCTTAGCTGCACACTGGAATTACCTGGGGGCCTTTAGATACTACAGATTCCTGGGTCCATTCCCAGAGATTCTGGGTATTGGGAGGTTTTTTTTGTTTTGTTTTGTTTTTTAAAGCTCCTCAATGCACAGCTAAGATAGAGAACCAAAGCTATAAACCTGTATAACCAGTATAACTGGTGCTTCTCAAACTTTAATATGCATATAGATCATTTGGGGATCTGGTTAAAATGCAGATTCTGATTAAGCAGATCTGAGGTGAAGCTGGAGATTTCTTTGTCTCTTACAAGCTCCCAGGTGATGGGGTGCCTGGGTGTCTCAGTCAGTTAAGCATCTGCCTTTGGCTTGGGTCATGATCTCAGGGTCCTACAATTGAGCCCCGCATGGGGCTATCCGCTCAGCAGAGAGTCTGCTTCTCCTTCTCCCTCTGTGATCTCTCTTGTTTTCACTCTATCTTAAATAAATAAAATCTTTTTATTATTTTTTTTAAAGATTTTATTTATTTATTCATGAGAGAGACAGAGGCAGAGACCCTGGTAGAGGGAGAAGCAGGCTCCATGCAGGGAGCTTGATGTGGGACTCGATCCCAGTACTCTGGGATCATACCCTGAGCCAAAGGCAGACGCTCAACTGCTGAGGCACCCAGGCGTCCTATAAAATCTTAAAAAAAAAAACCAGAAAACAAAACAAAACAAAACCCAAACAAGCTCCCAGGTGATGCCAATGCTGCTGGTCCAGGGACCACATTTTGGGTAGCAAAAGGATTAGGGCTATAAACTCATATATAATACATTATAAAATGAATACATTTAATATAAAAGCAATATATAGTGGGTAATATAAAGGGTAGATTTCCTTTAAAATGAATAATGCCGAGATTTGGTAATGAATTATGATTTAAGATTGTGCAATCAGGTGACCTGCTCAATCTGAAGGCATCAAGTCCAGCTGTGGCATCCAGCTCCCCTGAATGTATCAAGAATGATTCCTCTGCTCCCAGGGAAGGGGAAATAGGAGAAATAAGGAAGATGATGTCTAGATCCATCACTTTTCTGGAGATTCTTATAAGTTTTAAGAACTATCTAGAGAATTTAGGACAAATCAGAATCTATTAGAGGCAATTATAAACTATTATGGTGGGAAGGAAAGGAAAAAGAGATTAATCCTCAAGCTTAAAAGCTAACATAGATCTAGTACAGAAAAGATTTTACCCCACTTGATCTGGGACAAAGAACAAAAATCCCAGTTGGTGTTTTCATACTTTGCAGGTATCACTAAGGGTCAGTTCAGTTCCTTCCAACTAGAAAACAACCAGTTTGCAAATCTGAATGCTACGCATTCCTCCTGTTACTGTTGCTATACTTCAACAGTTTTTAAAGTCTACACCAGAATCCCATGTTTACCAAATAAAAAGTCAGAATTTATGGAAACATTAATGGAGCAGGTGTTCTTTAAATAGTGTTCTTTAAATAGTGTCAGGTGTTCTTTAAATAGTAAAAATGATTTTATTTTATTTTTTTACTTTTTAAATTTTTTATTTGTTTATGATAGGCACACAGTGAGAGAGAGAGGTAGAGACATAGGCAGAGGGAGAAGCAGGCTCCATGCACTGGGAGCCTGACATGGGATTCGATCCCAGGTCTCCAGGATCGCGCCCTGGGCCAAAGGCAGGCGCTAAACTGCTGTGCCACCCAGGGATCCCTAGTAAAAATGATTTAAAAATGCTCTTGATAATGCTATGTCGTTGGGGCACCTGGGTGGCTCAGTTGGTTAAGCATCTGCCTTTGGCTCAGGTCATGATCCCAGGGTCCCGGGATCAAGTCCCTCGTTGGGCTCCCTGCTCAGTGGGGGGTCTGTTTCTCTTTCTCCCTCCTCCCTGCTCGCGCTCTTTCTCTCTAAATAAAATCCTTAACAAAAAATGCTGTTCTGTCTTCAGTATCTGCATCATGTATTCTAGTTTCATAGCAATTTGTGGCAATTCAAGTAAAATTCATTTCTTTCTAACCAAATAGGTCATTCAAATACAAGATATGTGGCCAGTAGACAGACTAAAACCAAACACTTGGGCTACGTACCTTTCTAGTGAGCCGACGTTTAATCTCTCGTTTTTCTGCCTGCCGATCAGCTTCATTTTTAGCTACAGTCAACAGTCCAAAACGGTATTACTTCAAAATAGCAATTTGTGTATCAGTGTTTTCAGTAATTACACAGCAGATATTTCTTGTAGGCTCCAAGTCAGAATAAAATACTAACTTTGGGGATGGCTAATCAAAACAATTTTCTTGTCAACTGGTATAGTTGAATAGTTAAGAGCAAGGGTCACCCCCTGGTACCAAATCCAGCCAGTTGGCTATGTTTTTACTGCCCATGAGCTAAGAATGATCTTTCCATTTTTAAATGATTATATATTGAATGGCATGGTAAGTACCTATGTAATAGCTTCCTTTTGCTTTTGGCCTACAAAGCTAAATATATTTACTGTGCCCCTCAGAAAAACTGCAGATTCTCACTCAAGAGTAACCAGCAAGAATGAAGAATAAAGATCACACTGAGTTTTGTGTGATATGTCTATAAAGGTCCTCAAGTTTTAAGCTGCATATATCCACACAGTGGTGAGAGAACAGGGGATGGGCTGGTCAAACTGAGCACACCCACAATAGCTCAATGAAGCCTAATCCTCTCAGTGTGGAGGCTTTTAAGGGTAAATTTCACCCCAGAGTCTGGAAAACTGAATCAAATGTCTATTAGATCAGAATGCTATTTTAGGAAGTTAATTATGAACAAAGAAAGAAAATAAAATACATGTTCTTGTTTTGTGACTTTGATGTATGAAAGTCTTAAGAGATGAAAAAAGCAGGGGGACTCCTACATTGGGACTTGCTTTGGGTCCCAGCCCTCAAAGTCCACTAGGAACAGGAAGGTCTTCTCCAAATGCACAGCTACTACCTTCCCCGAAGACAGGGAAAAGTCGAGCAGCATCTACATATGCTGTGAAATCCTCCCAAATGGCCAAGGCAGTCTCAGGATAAATCATCAGAGCAGAATTTTCTGGCGGTTCCCAGTACATTAAGCAATACCACAACAATATCTTGTAAAAGAAGCTTGGGGGAAGTCTGTTCCTTCAGGGGAAAAGATATGAGTGGTCCTTCCTGGGCTGGAACACTCTCTCTTTGGCTCTTGTAGGAAATGCTTTTCTCTAGTCTGTATATTAAATTATGAAATATACAAAGAAAACTTGTACAACTTTATTCCCACAGCTGGACTCACGTTGTAGTATATTTCGCTGTTCTAGTTCTTCTGGTGTCGGTCTTTGACTCAGTCGTCTGAAAAGGAGATAAATTAGGGTATTGTCCATGTCAAGTCTCCCAATCCTGCTTATAAAGATTTGTTTTGGGCTCAGTTTATATTAGCCCCTAAACTAGCAAGAAAGCAAGAGATTTCCAAATTGTTTAGTTATTTCATTTATCTGCTTATGAAATAATTCTCATGCTGAAAGTGTTAATACAAAAAAAAAAAAAGAAAGTGTTAATACAGATACTACAACATAAAAAGGAATTGTAAATGCAAAGAGGAGGCCAAAATTCCAGTTGTAGCTCTAGTATTATTAATGAGCCGTGTGACCACAAAAAAGCTCAGTTAGATCCTGAGTGGACTCATTTGTAAAATGAAAGTCTGGACTGGACTGGTAGTTCCCAAACAGATTTGCTGATGGAGCACAGAATCTAAGGTATATAATAGACATTCTGATTCAGAAAACGAGGGATGAGGACTGATTTCATATATGGATTTTTACAGTCATTCCCATAGGACTGATGTCTTTCTTTTGATTTTTAAACCAGTGATTTAGCAACCACTGGAATTTAAGGCTGTCTCTTTTGAAGTGATATTCTGTAATTCTATGATTTTAATTTTGGTTCCCTTTGTGAAATACTGATGAAGTTTCTCATTTCATCCACAGCTCTGAGATGTTACCACCGATAACTTGTCTCCTCTGGAATCATACAGTTATTCACTTGTTACCTTTGATTTATATTTCTCAGACTGTATTTGAACTGCATACTAATAACTTTAGCTACCTGCACAGAAAACTCCTAGCCCCATTTTATATACAACTGACAACATTCTTTATGTATTTCAAAGATTTTTTTGCTTCCTCTGAACAAGACCTTCCTTTTTAGGGATGCCTGCATAGCTTAGTGGTTGAGTGTCTGCCTTTGGCTCAGGGCGTGATCCTGGGATCCCAGGATGCAGTCCTGCATCAGGCTCCCTGCAGGGAGTCTGCTTCTCCCTCTGCCTATGTCTCTACCCCTCTCTCTGTGTCAATCGTGTATAAATAAAATCTTTAAAAAACAAAAACACACACAAAAACTTCCTTCTTAAATGTTCATTAAAACCAAAACCCCACAATCCAGTAATGATATATGTATATACCTATAAAACCATCACCACAATTATAGTGAACAGATCCATCAGCCTTTTACTGGTTTCCTAGGGCTGCCATAACAAACTACCACAGCTGGGTGGCTTAAAACCACAAAAATTTATTCTCCCATAGTTCTGGAGGCCAGAAGTCCCAATCAAGGTGTGGGCAAGGTTGGTTCCTTCCAAAGACTCTATGGAAAATCTGTCCTATGTCTCTCTCCTAGTTTCTAGTGAGGCTGCCACCAGTCCTGGCATTCTTTGGCATGTAGATGTAGCACTCCAACCTCTGCCTCCATAGTCACATAGCATTCTCCTTGTGTGTTTGAATCTGTGTCCAAATTTTTCTGTTCCTTTATTTTAATTTTAATTTTTTTAAATATTTGCTTTTTTTTCTTTAATTTTGTTTATTTATTCATGAGAGACACACATGCAGAGAGAGAGAGAGGCAGAGACACATGCAGAGGGAGAAGCAGGCTCCATGCAGGGAGCCCAATGTGGGACTCGATCCCAGGTCTCCAGGATCACATCCCCGGCTGCAGGTGGCGCTAAACCGCTGTGCCACAGGGGCTGCCCCCCTCCCCCTTTTTAAAAAAAGAAATATACAGGGTTCCTGGGTGGCTCAGTTGGTTGTGTCTGCCTTTGGCCCAGATCCTAGTGTCTAGTCTTGTGATCAGGCCCCATGTCGGGCTCCCTGTTCAGCAAGGAACCTCTGCTTCTCCCATTCCCTCTGCCCCTCCCCACTACTCATGTCTTCTCCCTCTTTCAAATAAAATCCTATATATATATATATTTTATTTTTCTTCTTAAGTATCCTCTATGCCCAACGTGGAGCTTGAACTCATGACCTTGAGATCAAGAGCTGTGTGCTCCTCCAACTGAGTCACCCAGGTACCCCCATCCATTTGCCCTTTGATGGATATTTGTGTTGGCTGGATCCTATGTTTGATTTTTTTTCCTCTTTTTTCTTAAAGATTTATTTATTCAGAGAGAGTGCAAGAGAGGCAGAGACACAGGCAGAGGGAGAAGCAGGCTCCATGCATGCAGGAAGCCCGACGTGGGACTCAATCCCAGGTCTCCAGGATCACACCCCGGGCTGCAGGCGGCGCTAAACCGCTGCACCACTGGGGCTGCCCCATTTGATGTTTTTTTTTTTCTTTGTTTGATGTTTTTTTTTAAAGAAACTAACAAACTGTTTTCCAAAGTAGTTCTACTATTTTATATTCCTACTGCCAGTGTATGAGAATCCAACTAAATCCTATCCTCTAGTTTTGTAGTTTTAGCTTTTATTTATGTATGTATGTATGTATGTATGTATGTATGTATGTATTTTTCGGCTGTCATATTTATTTTTTTTTAATTTTTTATTTATTTATGATAGGCACACAGTGAGAGAGAGAGAGAGAGGCAGAGACACAGGCAGAGGGAGAAGCAGGCTCCATGCACCGGGAGCCTGACGTGGGATTCGATCCTGGGTCTCCAGGATCGCGCCCTGGGCCAAAGGCAGGCGCTAAACCGCTGCGCCACCCAGGGATCCCTAGCTGTCATATTTAAATGTAGAATTCATTTTGAGTTAATTTTTACATATGATGCAAGGCATGAATTGAAGTAATTTTTGTGCGCCAGCATCATTTGCTGAAAAGACCATTAAATTATCTATGTACTTTGGCAAAAATGAGCTGTGTATATATATATATATACAGCTCTGGACTCTGGGATCTGCCATGAGAGAGGCAGAAACACAGGAGGAGGGAGAAGCAGGCTCCATGCTGGGATCCCACGACTCCAGGATTGCGCCCTGGGCCAAAGGCAGGCACTAAACCGCTGAGCCACCCAGGGATCCCTATCTATCTATCTTTATGTTAACACCATACTGATTGGGTTACATTAGCTTTCTAATATGTCTTCAATCAGATTGTGTTTGCCCTTAAACCCTGTTCTTTTTCTTAGTTGCTCTGGTTATTCTAGTGTGCTTTGGATTTCCATAAGAATTTTACAACCAGTTTGTCAATTAAAAAAAAAAGCCTTCTGGGGGTAGTTTGACTGGAACTGCATGCACTGATATCTTAATAATATGTGAGACTTCTGACCCATGAATATGGTATTTCTCTTTATTTAACTCCACTTTCTTCAGCATTATTTTGTACTTTGCAGTGTACAGGTCTTACAATCTTTTGTCAGATTTATCTGTAAATATTTATTTATTTTTATTTTTTTTCCCTTTTCTTTTTTCTTTTTTTTTAAATTTTTATTTATTTATGATAGTCACACAGAGAGAGAGAGAGAGAGGCAGAGACACAGGCAGAGGGAGAAGCAGGCTCCATGCACCGGGAGCCCAACGTGGGATTCGATCCTGGGTCTCCAGGATCGCGCCCTGGGCCAAAGGCAGGCACCAAACAGCTGCGCCACCCAGAGATCCCTGTAAATATTTAAATATTTTTGATGCTATTGTTAACTGCTATTGTGAATGTTCATCTCTTCTATTTTTAGGTTCAAACTTGAGATTGTTCATTGCTAGTGTCCCACAAACTCTTCTAAGAAGACTATGACTCATTAAATAACACTCAAAGATGAGCAGTTAGCCCTGCAATGAAAAAAAAAATCTATTATAAAAAATTCCCATTCTTAACTAATTCCTGTTCTTTTTTTTTTTTTTCTTAAAGATTTTATTTATCGGGCAGCCTGGGTGGCTCAGCGATTTAGCGCCGCCTGCAGCCCAGGACGTGATCCTGGAGACCCGGGATTGAGTCCCACATCGCGCTGCCTGAATGGAGCCTGTTTCTCCTTCTGCCTGTGTCTTTGCCCCTCTCTCTCTGTGACTCTCATGAATAAATAAATAAAATCTTAAAAAAAATATTTTATTTATCCATTTATTTGAAGAGAGCAAGAGAGCTAATGCATGTGTGCACAAGCAGGAGGAATGGCAGAGGGAGAGGGAGAAGCAGGCTCTTTGCTGAGCAGGAGGCCTGACGAGGGGGCTCAATCTCTGGACTCTGGGATCATGACCTGAGTCAAAGGCAGATGTTTCACTGACTGAGCCACTGGGAGCCCCAACTAATTCCTATTCTTGATGATCTCTTGCTGACATTCATCCTGGCCAACAGCTTAAGTTAATTATTTTGTTAAGAATATGCCAAGAGTTCCAGTTCCTTTTCCTTACTCTACCAAGAGAAACATCTGAGTTACTCAAACACCTGTCTGTATACCTGGATTCTATGTACATTACATGTGTAGGAGGCTGGCCTGCATTCAGCTTCTCCATGCTTTTGGTTCCAGCTGACTTAAAAAATATACTAACACTTAGAAAGAAGGTAGTTGGAACATGTGAAATAGATACAATAAAAAATTTGGGTGTGATTTTTAATTGGGTTGGCACCTCATAGTTGAGCAACTTGATAAATGACAGTAGAGTCTTGCTATCCTAGGAACCACCTGAATTCTCTAGAAACTTAAAAAAAATTTTTTTTAAAGTAAACTCTAGGGACGCCTGGGTGGCTCAGCAGTTGAGTGTGTGCCTTCAGCTCATGGCATGATTCTGGTCCAGGGTACAGAGTCCTGCATGCAGCTCCCTGTGAGGAGCCTGCTTCTCTCTCTCTCTCTCTGTCTCTCATGAATAAATAAATAAAATCTTTCAAAAAAAATAAAGTAAACTCTATGTCCAATGTAGGGCTTGAACTTCCACATGAAGAGTCACATGCTCGGGGCACCTGGGTGAGTCAGTTGGTTAAGCATCCTACTCTTGACTTGGACTCAGGTCAAGACCTTGAGGTTGTGGGATCAAGCCCCACATTAGGCTCTGTGTTTGGTGTGGAGTCAGCTCATCCCTCTCCTTTTACCCTCCTCTCTCAAATAAATAAAATCTTAAAAAAAAAAAAAAAAGCATCGCATGCTTGACTGATTGAGCCAAACTGTCTAGAAACTTGTTATATATTATTATTTTTTTTTAAAAGATTTTATTTATTCGAGAGAGAGAGAGAGAGAGAGAGAGAGAAAGGGGCAGAGACATAGGCAGAGGGAGAAGCAGGCTCCATGCAGGAAGCCCAATATAGGACTCAATCTTGGGACTCCAGGAACACTTCCTGAGCCAAAGGCAGACGCTCAACCGCTGAGCCACCCAGGTGTCCCTCTAGAAACTTTTTAAAAGCCATTATTTAGGGGCGCCTGGGTGGCTCAGTTGGTTAAGCATCTGCCTGCAGCTCTGGTCATGATCCCAGGGTCCTGGGACTGACCCTCATGATCCCAGGGTCCTGGGACTGAACTCCCTATTTAGTGGGGGGTCTGCTTCTCCCTTTCCCTCTGTTCCTCCCCTTGTCCCTCTCTGCTGGTAAGCTGTCAAGTAAATAAAAATCTTTAAAAAATAAAATAAAAACCATATTTATATCTATCTTATTGGGGTAAAGCTGTGAAATACATCTATCTCATTTTTTTAAAAAAAGATTTTTTTATTTATGTATTCATGAGAGATACAGAGAGAGAGAGGCAGTGACACAGGCAGAGGGAGAAGCAGGCTTCATGCAGGGAACCCGACACGGGACTTGATCCCTGGTCTCCAGGATCACACCATGAGCTGAAGGCGGCTCTAAACCACTGAGCCACCGGGGCTGCCCTATCTCATTGTTTAGAGCTCTAAGAGAGCCATTTGATTCCTTAATTTCCAAATTCCTAGACAACACACAACTGCATACAATGTGTATTTTTAAAAATTATGCTGTTTCTAAAATTAAAAAAGAAAAAAGGTAAAAGTTAAGTCTTTAACACACCTACTGGGAAAATCAAATCAAATCAAATCAATCTCTTCTAAGAAAAGGCTTACCGGATCAGCGTGTTCCCAATCTGGTGCCGTATTTCATTCCACTCCTCTTTGCTTTTCCGAGGCCAAGAATTCATGTTCAGCTCTGGTTCACTGGGTCTGTGGTTCAACTTCATTGCCAGTGTGTCCTTCCTCTTCACTTTGTTGGCCAGAGCACCTTTATGAAAGGGAAAGAAAAAAAAGTAAACGCTAAGGCTCAGCCTCACCTAGAACCAGGCAAGAGTCTGAACAAGCAGTATCACATCTCCCAGCTAATGCAGAGGTGGGGGTAAAGCTGAAGACATCTAAAAATCTAATTAGCCAGATGGACTCACCTGGGCCAAATATATCTTCTCCTTTCTATATTTTTTACATTTCTCTACATTTCTCATGAGTAAGAGTTGCTATAGAGAGAATTTTTTTTTAAAGATTTATTTATTTATTTTATGATAGACATAGAGAGAGGGAGGGAGGCAGAGACACAGGAGGAAGGAGAAGAAGCAGGCTCCATGCTGGGAGCCCGACATGGGACTCCAGGATTGCGCCCTGGGCCAAAGGCAGGTGCTAAACCGCTGAGCCACCCAGGGATCCCCGCTATAAAGACAATTTGAAAATGGGACAGCCCCCTCTGAATTACAATGTAAAGGTATTTGCATTAACACAGTTCATAAGATTCCGTTTCTTTCTTTTTTTTTTAAAGTAGGCTCTATGCCCAATATGGGGCTTGAACTCATTACCTTGAGATCAAGAGTCACATGCTCTACCGACTGAGTCAGGCAGGAGCCCTGGGATTCCTATTCTTAAAGCTGCCTTCCCACTTTTAGGAATCAGGGTTCCATTATTTGCAGATTTGTGTACATAAACATGTGTTTTTTCTTTGCCCCATGGACACAGTAAGTTCATGAGACTAAAGGAGAGTATTACTATGTCTTTTTAACACAGCCCAAATACCAACTTCTTCTACACTAAATTCTTTAATACCATCAAGGTAAATGGTTCTTCAATCACAAATGGATAAAAACCTGCATGACTCTGGGTGCCTGGGTGGCTCAGTCGGTTGAGTGTCCGACTCTTGATTTTGGCTCAGGTCGTGATCTCAGGGTTGTAGGATTAAGCCCTTAGTCAGGCTCCTTACTCAGCATGGAGTCTGCTTGAGATTCCTTCCCTCTATCCCACTCTGTGTGCTCTCACTAAAATAAATCTTAAACAATGACAAAACAATAAAACCTGCATGACTTAATCTACTTGGCTCTCTCTGGCTTGTTAGAACAGTGGGAATAGCAAGGACAAGGCTCTATCACAGTGGCTTCCAATATTGGTTAGCCAGGTGACTCCATGGGAAAGGGTGCCCATTCCTCTTATACTTGTTGACACCAGCAAGTAGCTTTATCAGGAAAATAATTTTCTCCTTTGTTTTTCCCTTTCTTACTATGGTGGCTCTCATCTTCATCCTCTTCATCTCGGTACTGAATGGGACCTTCTGAATCAGAGTCACTCTCCTTCTCTTCCTCTTCCTCCTGCAGACACTGTGGTAGTTTAGGAACAGCTGAGGTAGATGCCACATCTTCAATGAGTGCAGATGGGTGGGTTTGTTCTTCTTCTTCATCGTCTGGACTAACAAATTAACATAATTACATTTTCCTTTCAGAAACATAAGGGTAACTGATTTGTAAGGCAAAGTACTGAATAACTATAGAAAATTCCACGAGTGAAATAAATTTATTCCTTAAGAATCTTGCTAAGAAACTTTTTAGCAGCTAGTAATCTAAAAGGCTCTGGGCTCAAATCCTAGCTCTACAAGTTATTCACTAGCTTGTAAGTTATTTGACTTTTCTGTAAATGTGGAGGATACCTACTTGCTATGCTTGTTGTGAGAATAAAATAGATAAATTCTAGAATGTACTAGTATTTGGCACACAGGTCCCTACTGATCTATGTGTAAGATGCAAGTTTATTTTGGGATGATTAAATGAGAAGACCACACAACATCCAACACTGTGACTGGCTCATGGAAGATATACAATAAAGAACTTAACCCAATTTTTTCCTTTGGTTTAACAATGGAGTAGGACTAAATGATAATCTAATCTAAGGAAGCAAAGAGAAATCAAGATGAAAACTAACCTCTCCCCTTTCCACCCTGGGGGCATAAAACTGTGACTTAGTCCATCTGTTAACTCCTTAACTGTCTCTTTCCAGGATGTAAAAAGATTATACCACCAAGTACAACGATTATGACAAAGCAGCTGAGCAGTGTGTGGCAACAACTCTATAACGATTCTACAACTTGCAAATCTCTGGTAAATCTCCAACTTGCCAAAAAGTGTTAACCTTCAGTCTCAATTTGTTAGAATTTTAAAAAGGCAATTGTTTGAATCTATTGGGGGACAGATGAGGGAGAAAACAAGCTAGCCAGTTCTAGTTTATGCAGTTAGAACATTGAACCATCTTTCACAGTTCCCTTCTTTTTCTCTAGACTGCTCTCTGTCCCTCTGTACTGAATTTAGGTGCCAGGCACCATGCTTTCATTTGTCTAATTTCATCCTTAACAAGCCTATGAGGTAGGTATTATTCCTGTGCATGGATCAGACAGCTCACTCAAGTGCAGAAAGGTTAAGTAACACACTACTGCAAACTAGGAAGTAAGAGGTAGATCTGGGATTTGAACCCAGAGCTCTCTTACTCCAAGGCCAATACTCTTACGCACCATGTTATACAGCCTCCCTTGTATCACATACAAAAAATAGAGTGGTTTTAATTTTCAAGTACAAAATTTTGTGACTGCTATGGAAACAATGTTATTGATTAGCAGGGTAAATAAAGTCCAAATTCTGGAACATATCTTTATTTGTTGAGTATTCTTGCTTTAAATTTAATTACATTTTCTTTTTATAAATAATTTTCTTCAAGAAAGGCTATATAGAGTAAAGAAGAGGCAACAAAAGGCAAGTTTTAAAGGCACTCACACTTTCAGCATTTCAATAGTGATGGGAAGTGACCTGGTCCGACCCAGGGTACTGCTGTCCTCAGAAAAGTTGTCACTGTACTCAAAGAGCAAGGAATGAGCTCTGTGAGAGCCCTCCAAGGGAGGAGTCATGGGAAGTGGGCTGGTCAGGGCCTGCTGGATACGGATATGCAGTGGGAGTGGAGGCAGCCTACAGGGTATCTGGGGCTCCCCAAAGCTGTGGTCCAGCATCCTCTTGGGTATTTCCTTTTTCTGATCTTCCGGCTGGGAAACCTCCTGGGGTAGGTCTAAGGAAGGTGGAAACTCATTTTCTGGCATAACTTGAAAAGTCTTAGCAGGGAATGGAGGGGACCGTCGGGGTTCAGGAGGTATATGAGTAGGCAGTGGAGGGGATGGAGAGGAAGGTGGGATCATCAACAGTGGTTCAGAGCCCACAGAGCATGTGTTCTTTTCTCTCTGATCACTTGGTGCTTTTGTGGTGGCAGCAGCAACAGACTCCGAGGCGGGTACCAACGTTGATGGAATGCCTCTCTTAGGTGGTAAGGGTGGGGATGGTTTTGATAACAATGTACCGCTGTTTATTGCTTGGGACAGTTCAGCTGGAAAAGAGAGAATAACACCTCAGTTTAAGATGGCTTCACAATTCTTTGAGGGGCCAGTCCAGGGCCTAGATTAGAACTGAGCTTACTCTCAGCTTTCAGGCAAATTATATCATTTCATGGCTTTGCCATAACCTAGGTATCTCCTGCCAAAACAAAATTCATTCATTCACTCATTCATTCAAAAGATTTTACTTATTTATTCATTCATGAGAGACACATACACAGAGAGAGAGGCAGAGACACAGGCAGAAGAAGCAGAATCCATGCAGAGCCCAATGTGGGACTCGATCCCAGGTCTCCAGGATCAGACCCTGGGCTGAAGGTGGTGCTAAACTGCTAAGCCACCCGGGCTGCCCCAAAACAAAATTTATATTTAAGTATCTAGAAGGCCTAATAAATATATAGACATGTAGAAGACCACTACCTTAATACTCTGATGAGAAATTTCTTACTTCTTTGTTCTAATACATAGGACTTTGATCACGCCCTGGGCCAAAGGCAGACACTTAACTGCTGAGCCACCTAGGGATCCCTACATAAGACTTTGACTCGATGTAGATAAAGTTATTATGATAAGATAAAAAATGTGGATAGTAAGTTCTTCTAACAAAACTCTTTAAAAATGTAATCATGCAGGTAGTAGTAAAAAAAAAAACCCAAAATACTATCAGGCATTGTTACCATAACTTGATTAATAATGACATCTAGGTATCCCAACTCTGCATTATAAAATTATCAATAGTGACATCTTGATTTTTTTATAGCAAATGCAAAGGCCTTTGAGCAAATCAAAGGCTATCCTTGCTATCCTTGACTTCAGATTCTCCTTATAGAGGAGGTTATCTCTTTTTATTTTATTTTAAATTTAATTAAATTTAATTAATTATTTTATAAGATTTTCTTTATTTATTCATGAGAGACACAGAGAGAGAGAGAGGCAGAGATACAGGCAGAGGGAGAAGCAGGCTCCAAGCAGGGAGCCCGATGTGGGACTCGATCTGGGGACTCCAGGATCATGCCCTGAGCCAAAGGCAGATACTCAACCACTGAGCCACCCGGGCGTCCCATCTTTACCATTTTAAAAATATAAGGAAAAACGGAGGCCACAGAAGTTAGGTGACCTGCCCAAGATTATACTACATATAGGCAAAAGCTGGGTTAGGCCCAGGTCTCATTATTAGACTCCATCTTCTACATCCCACAGTCTTTGTGATTTTTTTGAGTGTCCATACCTCTCATCCTTTATACCCAAACCCCCATCACCACTTCTCACTACACTATGGGCTCCTTGATGACAGAGCAAACTGTTTCTATCAGCATATCCACAGAGGCTGGCATAGTGCTTGGCACATGGTAAATCCTCAATACATGTTTATTAGAGGAGAGGCCCCTACCTTTCATCAGAATAGTATATATCCCAGTGTTAGCTCCCCAAGCTCAAAATGACCTAAGTTTTGATACAGCAAAGTCCCTTTGGTGGACTCCAAATGGCCTTTAAGAAGTAGATCATCACATCACTCATGGGTTAAACTTGCAAAATAATTAGTCTCTTAATCACCAACCTCCAACCTACTACTCAAATGCTAATTTTGGTTATACTACCTGTTTCAAATGGCTTCCATATGTCTTATCTAGAGAGTAAAACCTCAAGGTCCCCTGAAATAAAAATTTACTTGCCCCTGAGTCCCATTCCACTGGTAGCATTCAAAGTAAAAAGCTAGCTAATTTGATAATGTTTTAATGGCATTCACCATAAATCTTTTTTTCATTTTTAACTATAAATTATGAAAATAATTTAAATTACGTAACATAACCATAATTTATTAACTGTGAATAAATTAATTTTATATTACTTTAATAATCATTTAGTTTTTTATGTTATAAATGCTCAAATGCACTCTAAGAAAATGTAATTCCAGGGATGACTGGGTGGCTCAGCTGTTGGGCACCTAGTTGGGCACCTGCCTTCGGCTCAGGTCGTGATCCTGGAATCCAGGATCGAGTCCCACATTGGGCTTCCTGTGAGGAGCCTGCTTCTCCCTCTGCCTGTGTCTCTGCCTCTCTCTCGCAGTCTGTGTCTCTCATGAATAAATAAATAAATCTTTAAAAAAATGTAATTCTAGTATAATTAACAAAGTATTATACAACTTAGGTAAAATTTTTTTTATTTTATTATTATTTTTATTAAAAAACTTTTTAAAGATTTCATTTATTTATTCCTGAGAGACACAGAGAGAGGGAGAGAGAGGGAGAGAGAGAGAGAGAGAGAGAGAGAGAGAGGCAGAGACACCGGCAGAGGGAGTAGCAGGCTCCATTCCATGCAGGGAGCCTGACGTGGGACTCAATCCCAGGTCTCCAGGATCATACCCTGAACTGAAGGCGGTGCTAAACCACTGAGCCACCCGGGCTGCCGAACTTAGGTAAACTTTTAAAAGACTTTCTAAAAAACATTGCATACACATACAAAAAAAGATTTAAAAAATATTAATTTTAGCCTCAATGAGATTTTTTGGGTAGACTGGACATTAGCCATTTGATACTCCATTTACAACAAAACCTATACCTAACCAAATTTGAGTATTTTATTATTTGAATTGATAAGGTAAATTATCTTTGGTAAGTTAAGGAAAATATATGCCTCAAGATGTTAAAGAACATGTTGCATCTATCCTCACAATGGCATCTGGCTGTAGTTCTGTGGGCAAGATGCTGGAATGTTCACTGGAAGAGTTACAAATCCTTCCATCTGTTCAGCTACTTATGGTGGTCCTTCCTTTCTCCTAAAACTAATTAGTCCTTAGCCCTAACACTGTTATGCCCATTAGTAGACATAGGAATGTCTAAAGCAGTGGTTTCCAAATGTTTAGATCTCATGGACCAATATAATAACTTTTTTTTAAAAGATTTTACTTATTTATTCATGAGAGACACAGAAAGAGAGGCATAGACACAGGCAGAGGGAAGAGAAGCAGGCTCCATGCAAGGAGCCTGATGTGGGATTCGATCCGGGAATCCGGGATCACGCCCTGAGCAAAAGGCAGATGCTCAACCGCTGAGCCACCCAGGCGTCCCAATGGACCAAAAAATTAAAATGAAATTCTCAACTAACCTCAGGTTGTCAATTTTTAATATTTCCAAGTAGACTTGATATCAAGAAAACTGTTTGTGAACATAATGCTTTCATAAAAGAAATGAATTTTTAACATCAAAGAATTAGGAAGGTCATAGTTTCAGAATAAAAGATAGTCCTTTAAATCAAATCTATTTAACCTTAATAAAAACTCTGTGAACTGTTCTATTTTTCTCCTGCTGAGGACCATTCAAGATGGATCTTGATCCCTCAGTCACAAGATCTATTGCTTTGGGCTATTCATCTTAGGCCAAAGTGGCCTCTGTGGTTCAGCCCAGAGAATAATACACATATTGGTTGTTTTTTTTTTTTTTTATACTGTCTTATCCTGAAAAGGGTAGAGTATTACTGGTTTAGAGCAGTGGTTCTCAATGTGTGGTCCTCACATATGCAGTATCAGTATCACCTGGGAATTTATTAGAAATGCAAATTCTCAGGCCCACCCTACACTTACAGATTCAGAAACTCTCAGGGCAGGGCCCAGCAATCTGTGTTTCAACAAACCCTCCAGGCGATCATGATGAGAACCTGCCTAGACAGCAGTTTGAGAATACAGGTGTACAGGACAGAGGTCTGGGCTCAAGAGCTGAAAAGCCTAGGTTTGGTTTCTATCTCTCATTAACTGCAACCTTGAATGAGTCACAACTTCCTCATGTTATAATTGCCCTAACTATATAATAGATAAAATCGCTTTCCTACTTCACAAAGAGGTTCTAGAAGCAAGTACATGAAAGCTGCTTGAGTTACTCAGAGATAAGTCAACATATCACTGTCCATCCAGGGTGATGGTAACAGTAATAACCTTGATTCTTTTTTTAATCAAGCCACTCCAACTTGTCATACTCATAATGAATTCTAAGCCTGTTTTTCAGGGTTCTTGTCGCCCCACACAAGTTGGGGGTATTAGCTGTTTGCGTGTACTTTATTCTTCCCTTCCATCATAAACAAGAACTTCAAGCCACAGGAAGCCTAGTATCATTTTTCCTGAAAAACTACCTTCCTTCCTCTTCTCCCTTTCTCAAAAATTCCTCTAAGAAGGTATACATGTATGTAAAGAAAAGCTGACCTAAATAGGACTTCAGGTAAATATAAACAATTTTACTAAATTGATAAAAATATACTGGTTATATTCCTGGTTTTCTATCTTCTACCACTTATTTTATTAAAAGTAGCATTCTTAGGGGCTCAATGGGTAGAGCGATTGACTTTTGACTTTGGCTTGGATCATGATCTCAGGGTCTTGGGGTCGAGCCCCAAGTGGGGTTCTGCACCTAGTGTGAAGTCGGCTTGTCCCTCTCCCTCTACTCCTCCCCAGTTCATGCTTGTTCTCTCTTTTTCTCAACTAAACAAATAAACAAAACAAAGAAACAAAATTAAAAAAAAAAGCATCATTCTTAACTCTCCTAAGATAAAACAAGATTTTATCAGGACACTGAATAATATCTTTTACAGTTTGCATGAAGGTATTGTGCCAGCCACTGAATCACAAATTATCCTGGCATCTATATAATCACCTTTTTATCTGTTGGCCTTATGCTGAAGGCAGGTATTGATGGTCTAAAGTAGGTTAAAAAAAAAACAAAAACACATTTTCTCCATGTAGGTCAGACCTATTGTGGTTTTCACATGTCCAGTCCCTCAACCATAAGCAGTATTTCAGAAACACTGTTTTAGGAAAATAGATATTAACCGCACCCCCCCCCAACCAAACTGGAACTGAATTTATTACTATCTGATTCTAGTCCATTTTCATCCATAGCTATCTGCCTCATTTTCAAGACTTTCTCTATATTGAGGGCTTTCAAAGGGACAAGACATGGAGAAGTCTCTCACAGATCAAATCAATACTGTACCAATTATCCAATAAAACAATCATCCAAAACCAAACCCAATCCAACCCAAAGCAATGGAAACCTAAAGACTTACTTACCAATGACAGGATTGCTATTTCTGTGAGCTGGTTTAGGGGGAGGGATCGGGGGCTGCTTGGCAGGGACCGTAGGAGTGAGACTTGGGGTAGCAGTAGTGTTAGTGCTGGCAGGAGCAGTGGGCAGAGTCCTGGGTGCTGGGGTGGGGGGTATAGAAGAACTAACAGTTTTTGTCGGGTTTGTGGCAACAGAGGTGGCAGCAGGTGCCGTGGTGGAGGCGGCAGTGGAGGTGGAGGAGATGGACCTGGTCGTGCTGCCAGAGGAAGTGGCATCCTTTGCTTGCCCTTCACTTGCTTGCCCCTCATGAGAAGAGGACAAAGGTCTTTTAGGGGGAAGAAAAGGCTGTTTGGGTGCATTCTCAGGAACGGACTCTGCTTCAGAATTAGACTGGCTTCCAGTTGAGCCTGCATAATAAGGGAAGAAAGAGTAACACGAGAGACTGAAAAAGTTAACACATCTACAGGCTTGTGGTCAAATGCATCCATTATTTAACTTGCAGATTAGTTTATAAGCAAAGTTTCCCAATCTCAAACTACTTAAGGTATGACACTTTCTCAATCACAATCTCAAAATAAGAGAGGCCTGAATGGTAGTGATTCTTTCCACAAGAGCCAGGCAAGCAGAGGAGGCACAGAATCCTGAGGGGGGAAGACAAGGAACAAGGAATGTGTGGTTTGAAAAAGTCTACAAGTACCTGATGCTTAACATCCTCTTCCATCCTTTAGAATCACAAATTAGGTCTTTTGGGAATATAAGAATGACACGGGAAAAATTCCACTTGCAGTTGCTACTAGTTGAGGAATCACTAGAGGAGAACAGAATTCCCTCTGGATTTTATTTCTCCCCTGGCTCTAGTAAAACTGAGTTGTTTTTTTTTTTTAATTTTTTTTTATTTTTATTTTATGATAGTCACAGAGAGAGAGAGAGAGGCAGAGACACAGGCAGAGTGAGAAGCAGGCTCCATGCACCGGGAGCCCGATATGAGATTCGATCCAGGGTCTCCAGGATCGCGCCCTGGGCCAAAGGCAGGCGCCAAACCACTGCGCCACCCAGGGATCCCAGTTTTTTTTTTTTTTTAAGGTTTTATTTATTTATTCATAGGAGACAGAGAGAGAGAGAGAGAGAGAGAGAGAGAGAGAGAGAGGCAGGCAAAGACACAGGCAGAGGGAGAAGCAGGCTCCATGCAGGGAGCCCGATGTGGGACTCGATCCCAGGTCTCCAGGATCAGGCCCTAGGCTGAAGGCGGCACTAAACCGCTGAGCCAGTGGGGCTGCCCAGTAAAACTGCGTTAAATGAGAATGACTGATTGATCCATGGCTCTTACACTAAAAAAAATTCAGGGTTTCTTACCTAGTCGCTTCTTTGAGTCCTCTTCTGGAACAGGTTTCCTAAGACTTGCTATTCTTCCTAACTCCTCTTCTGCTTGGTCTGGACTAGAAGATCTGGTACTCCCTATGGGAGTAGTATGGCCATTTCTTAACATGGCATGGCTCAGCTTCCCTGGATCCTCAGCACCTGCACAATCAAAAAGGAGAGAGCGAACTGATGGACTGGTGTGGTCAGACAGGGGAAGAGCTGGTGATTTTTAACCTTTTTTTACCCCCTTCTCCCCCTTCCCATTTGAGCTTACAACTCAGATCAAGATTTTCTGGATCTTTATAGCAGTAACAGAAATAAGTAATTCCTTTTGCCAATGAACATCTGGTTGCCTATTATGTGCCAGGTGTCTTGCTACGTGAATAAGACAAATATACATAAATAATGAATGCTACCTATTCAGAGCTATAACAAATGGAGTGCTGGGGTAGGAAAGAAAAAACAATTCTCTTGGGGTGGGAATGAAGTTAGGAAAGCTTCACGAAGAGTGGTGGCTAAACTGGGTCTTGAGGAAAGACAGGAAGAAGGAGTAGCATGGATCAATGTATGAAATCATTTGGCATTTTCAGGAACTGGCATCAAGTTTGTCTGGCAGAACAGATGCACATAAGAAACAGCTATGGATAGGACTGGAAAGGCCAGCCAGAGCAGGCTATGAAGGACACTGAATCCATGTAAAGGAGCCTGGGCCAAATCCTGTAGATAACAGGAAGCCAAAGAATTAAAGTAGAAGAGAGATCTGATCTGATCTTTTTGAAGGTTAAATGTGAGAGCTAAGAGGAGGATGGATCAGGCAGGGACTGGAACAGGAAGCTACTAATGAGTGTTGGAATAAAGCTGAGACATGGCAGAGGGTGCCAGGCATTAGGAAAGCACAGCAATGGGCAGAATGGATAGACAAGACACATTCCTACAAACTAAACTGCAGGAATGATCCTTAGGCTGGAGGCTTTGGGAGGACCACTCATTACTATAAAGACTGCAGGTAAGGTTCCTGCACAGAACAGTTAAGACAAACATTCCAGTTACTGCTGAGCTTCCCTAGACGGAGAGGGAACGGAGAAACATGAGGTTAGACTTACACTCCGTCTCACCTCCTAGTGTCATGGGGACTGGAAATAGTTGCTCTCTAGATGATCTCCCTTCTTGGCTTCCCACAGAGACACTCCAGGTAGTATCACTTTGGTGACTCTTTAGTTAGTCCCTGAGTTCTCAGGGACCAGTCTCCCTCACCCCAACCTACCATCTCCTATTAGATTAGACAGGATCATTCTCCACAGTGTCAATGAGAGGTGGAGCTGGGGGTGAAGTAGTAGAGAGTCTGGCAAATGAGTACTAAATGAAAATACATTTCTCAAGATAAAGTATTCTGATGACTATTTTAAAACGAGGAAGGTAGCAAGATGACAACTATGCAAATGCAGTAAGTTATTGCTTATGTTAATATAGCCAGCCTTAACAAATATAGGACCGTCTAGAATATTAACTAAGGAATCATTTATTTAAAAAAATATTTCATGGGATCCCTGGGTGGCACAGCAGTTTGGCGCCTGCCTTTGGCCCAGGGCACGATCCTGGAGACCCGGGATTGAATCCCACGTCGGGCTCCCGGTGCATGGAGCCTGCTTCTCCCTCTGCCTGTGTCTCTGCCTGTCTCTCTCTCTGTGTGTGTGACTATCATAAAAAAAAAAAAAAAAAAAAAAAAAAAAAAAAAAAAACACAAAAAAAAAACACACATTAAAAAAAATATTTCACTTATTCATTCATAAGAGACGCAGAGAGAGAGAGGCAGAGACACAAGCAGGCTCCATGCAGGGAGCCCGAAGTGGGACTCGATCCCTGGTCTCCAGGATCATACCCTGGGCTGAAGGCGGCGCCAAACCGCTGAGCCACCCAGGCTGCGCAGGAATCATTTCTGAGCCAAAAAAGACAACTACTTTTGGAAACCATACAGTTAAAGGTTAAAACACATTAACAACTGGTTTCTACTCAGCACATGTTAGGAAAATATACGCAAAAGTTATCAGTTATTGGGGCACCTGGGTAGCTCAGCTGGCTAAGCATCTGACTCTTGACTTTAGCTCAGGTCATGATCTCAGGGTCATGATACCGAGACCTTTATAGGGGCTCACACTCGGCACAGAGTCTGTCTGTCCCCTCTTCTAGCCCTTTCTCCCTCCCCCTGGTTGCCCACTTGCACTTGCTCTCAATCAATCAATCAATCAATCAATCAAATCTTAAAAAGAAAAAGTGATCAGTTATCTCTCAAGCTACTTATTCAGTATTGTCTACTTTCAAGTAAAATTTCTTTAAAATATTTTTTAAGATTTGTTTTAAAATCCAATTATAATAAAATAGTGTTAGTTTCATGTATACAATATAATGATTCAATTCTATACATTACTCAGCACTCATCATGGTAAGTGTACTCTTAATCTCTTCATCTATTTTACCACCCCCAACCCCACTTTCCATGTGGCAACTACCAGTTTGTTCTCTATATTTCAGCATCTGTTTTTTTATGTGTCTTTTTCCTTTGTCCACTTGTTTTACTTCTTAAATTCCACATATGACTGAAATCACATGGTATGTTTTTCTCTGACTTATTTCACTTAGCATTATATCCTCTAGATACATCTATGTTGTTACAAATGGCAAGATTTGGGATCCCTGGGTGGCACAGCGGTTTGGCACCTGCCTTTGGCACAGGGCGCGATCCTGGAGACCTGGGATCGAGTCCCGCATCGGGCTCCCTGCCCGGAGCCTGCTTCCCCCTCTGCCTGTGTTTCTGCCTCTCTCTCTCTCTGTGTGTCTCTCATGAATAAATAAATAAGAATCTTAAAAAATAAGAAAAAAAAAAAAAAACAACAAATGGCAAGATTTCATTCTTTGAAATGAATGGCTGAGGAGAATTCCACTGTGTGTGTGTGTGTGTGTGTGTGTGTGCATGTGTATCTTTATCCATTCATTTATGGATAGACACGGGTTGCTTCTATATCTTGGCTATTGTTAATATTGCTGCAATAAGCATGGGGGTATATATATCTTTCTAAAAAGTGTTTTCATTTTCTTTAGCTAAATATTCAGTAGAGGAATTACTGTATCATATGGTAATTCTATTTTTATTTTTTGAGGAATGTTCATATTGTTTTCCACAGTGTTTTGCACCAGCTTGCATTCCTACCAACAGTGTATGAGGGTTCCTTTTCTTCCACATCCTTGCCAACACCTGTTATTTCTTGTGTTTTTTATTTTAGCCATTTTGGTAAGTGTGAGGTGGTTTCTCATTGTGGTTTTGATTTGCATTTCCCTGATGATGAGTGATGGTTAGCATCTTTTCATATAACTGTTGGTCATCTGTAGGTCTTCTTTGGAAAAATATCTATCGTGTCTTCTGGCCAACCCCTTTTTAAAAGATTTTATTTATTTATTTTGAGAGAGAGAGAGAGAGAAAGAGAGAATGAAGGGAGGAGAGGGACAAACAGACTCCCCGCTGAGTGGAGAGCCCAATGGAGGGCTCAATCTCAGGACCCTGAGATCATGACCTCAGCTAAAGTCAGATGCTTAACTGATTGGGCTACCCAGGTGCTCCCTTTTACCCATTTTATAAGTGGGTTATTTGGTTTTTTCCAATTTTGGAAAAATTGGTGTTATTTTGGTGTTAAGTTGTATAAGTTCTTCATATATTTTGGATATTAACCTCTTATCAAATATATCATTTGCAAATATCTTCTCTCGTTTGGTAAGTTATCTTTTTGTTTTGTTGGTTTCCTTTGCTATGCAAAAGTTTTTTATTTTGGCATAGTCCCAATAGTTTAATTTTACTTTTGTTTCCAGCATACTTAGAAAAATGTTTCTATGGCTGATGCTGAAGAATTTACTGCTGATGTTTCATTCTAGGAATTTTATGGTTACAGGTCTCACATTTAAGTGTTTAATCCATTTTGACTTTATTTTTGGTATGGCCTAAGAAAGTGGTCCAGTTTCATTCTTGTGAATGTAGTTGTCCAGTTTTCCCAGCACCACTTGTTGAAGAAACCATTTCCCCTCATTGTATATCCTTGCTTCCTTTGTCATAGATTAACTGACCATTTAATTACGGGTTTACTTCTGGGCACTCTATTCTGTTCCACCGATCTGTGTGTCTATTAAATTTCTTATATTTCATGCAAAGGTTTTCTACAATGCTAACAAAATGGAGTATAAGCAGTATCCAGCTTTTAATATCTATAGATATCCTTGCCCCATCTCAGAAAACATATGAAACATTTTATAACATAGTCAAGTTAGAACCATGCATATTTAAGCCAAAAACTATGTTTGAGTATGAAAAAAACTTCAAAGTTCAAATGTTGCTTTTGGCCTAAACTGGAAATATATAATAAGCCAGGTTCTGAGGCCTATCTCAGAGTTTCTTCCTAGAATAAAGCTTTTTGTCAGTTCTGTGGTGGACAGAGTAGTATCTTGTCCAATGGCTACAACTCATTTATCAATTGGGCCTTTGAGCTTCTAGGCTAAAAACAACTTGGATCAAGAGCCAATAGGAAGCATAGGGGAAAAGAGACTGAATGGAGGTGAAAAACAATAAACAAGTAATGTATAGGGTTTGTGGGTGAGTGAGCAAGAAAGGTGAGACATAGGAGAGGGCATTTGGTAAGGAATGGCCATTATAAAAAAAGCAAAAACAAAAACAAAGCAAGGATCAAAGGTGCTGCAACAGAGGTGTTACAATTATAGTTAGCCATCTAAAATACCTAGAAGATTTTGTGTCTAAAAGTAAAATTCAAAGTCTCATAAAAAACTGGTTATCCATGCTTATAGCTAACCATGCAGAAAAATAAGAAAAAAAATCCCACTGTATTCTCATCCTAATATTCATAGGGAACCAATGCTGATTAATATTTTAGTAATTTCCCTTTATGTTTGTTATCTTTGTTAAATTTTTATATAGTTGAGGGGTGCCTGGGCAGCTCAGTTAAATGACCAACTCTTGGTTTCAGTTCAGGTTATGAACTCAGGGTCCTGAGATCAAACCCTGTGTTGGGCTCTGTAGTCAGAGAGGGGTCTGCTTAGGATTCTCTCTCTCTCCCTCTCCCTCACTCTCCCTCTGCTCCTCTCCCTCATGTTCTCTTTCTAAAATAAATAATCTTTAAAAAATCTTAAATCTGGGCAGCCCGGGTAGCTCAGCAGTTTAGCACCACCTTCAGCCCAGGGTGTGATTCTGGAGACCCTGAATCAAGTCCCACATCAGGCTCCCTGCATGGAGCCTGCTTCTCCCTCTGCCTGTGTCTCTGCCTCTCTCTCTCTCTGTGTCTCTCATGAATAAATAAATAAAATCTTTTAAAAAAACCTTAAATCTACCTAATTTAATTCAATTTTGTGAATAAGCAATATGTTACCATGGTTCAAAACCATACTTCATGCTTTTTGTATGATATCCCATTAGTTTGGTTCCTATTTCCCATTGTCCAAAGGATAGGATACAGTTTTAAAACTTGGCAACTCTAATGAAGAGAAATGAAACACAATCAATGTACTGTAGTCTTAACTCTTCTAATAAGTTGCTTCATAAAAGTCACACATTGAAGAAAAGTCCTGACATTAAGTGAATAAGGAGTGTTGAAATACCAAAACATGACCTTTATGACAAAGATTAGGGAAGCAATCTGGGCATGGAGACAAATTTGGTTAAAAAACCCCAAACAAACAAGGACGCCTGGGTGGCTCAGACAGTAAAGTGCCCGATTTTTTATTTTGGCTCAGGTCATGATCTTGGGGTCATGGGATTGTGCCTTGCATCAGGCTCCCTGCACTCAGCATGGAGTTGGTCTAAGATTCTGTCCTTCCCCCTACTTTCTCTCTTTAAAACAAATAAATAAAGCCTTTTAAAAAAATATTAAAACAAACCAAAGAAAGTGACATAGTAGTGCAGGTGGCACAAAGCTGAGATTGTGGGGCAGCCCCGGTGGCGCAGCGGTTTAGTGCCGCCTGCAGCCCAGGGCGTGATCCTGGAGACCCAGGATCGAGTCCTACGTCAGGCTCTCTGTGTGGTGCCTGCTTCTCCCTCCACCTGTGTCTCTGTCTCTCTCTGTCTCTATGAATAAATAAAATAAAATCTTTTAAAAAAATTAAAAAAAAAAACAAAGCTGAGATTGTACAGAGACACAGAGAAGGACGGCCCCAAGGATCCTTCACAAGCCACTCAATTTTGGAGTTAAAGATCACAGCCAGTTGGGATAGATACTTGGGAGAAAAGTCAACAGTCTTTTTTTTTCCTACCCCTCACCAAGAAAATGGTTGCCTTTAGTATAGGAAATTGGGAGATAATTATTAGAAGAAATAAAGTCATTTCAGAGCACCTGGATGGCTCAATGGTTGAGCATCTCCCTTTGGCTCAGGTCATGTTTCTGGGGTCCTGGGATCGAGTCCCCACAGGGAGCCTGCTTCTCCCTCTGCCTATGTCTCTGCCTCTCTCTGTATCTCTCATGAATAATTAAATAAAATCTTTAAAAAAAAAAGAAATAAAATCATTTCATATTTATACTCGAGATTCCCTAAAAGAATCAGTTATTCTTATTTATGTTTTAGTATTTTCCCTTTACTAATTATTTTCATTCCCACAAAAAATATTTGCCTTCCTTAAATAAATCAAATATAGATAACACAGCATTGAATTCTCAAAATATCTTATTAGTACTTTTTTATTGTCAAGTATAGCACTAGTAGAGAAAAAATGTATAAAACATAAATTTCCAAATAGCCAAACTATGGAAAGAGCCCTGATGTCCATCTGACAGATAAATGGATAAAGATGTGGTGTGTGTGTGTGTGTGTGTGTGTGTGTATAATGGAATATTACTCAGCCAAAAAAAATGAAATATTACCATTTGCAACGAAGTGGATGGAACTAGAGGGTATTATGCTAAGTGAAATAAGTCAATCAGAGAAAGACAATTATCAGATGATCTGACTCATATGTGGAATTTAAGAAGCAAAACAGAGGATCATGGGGAAGGGAGGGAAAATTTTAAAAAAGATGAAATCAGAGAGGGAGACAAATCATAAGAAACTCTTAACTATAGGAAACAAACTGTGGGTTGCTGGAGGGGCAGAGGGCCAGGGGATGGGGTAACCAGGTGATGGGCATTAAGGAAGGCATGTAATGTAATGAGCACTGGGTGTTATATGCAACTGATGAATCACTGAACTCTACACTTCTGTAACTAATAATATACTATATATTAATTAAATGAATTTTTTTAAAAAGTGTTTCCAGAGTGTGCCTGTGTGGCTCAGTTAATTGTCTGACTTCAGTTTAGGTCATGATCACAGAGTCATGAGATAGAGCCCCATGTTGGGCTCTGTGCTCAGAGGGGTGTCTGTTTCTCTCCCTCTCCATCAGCCCCTCCCCCTGCTCATGTGCTCTCTCTCTAAAAATGAATCCTAAATATATACATAACTTGTGATACATTTATAAAATATTATACAGCAATGAAAACAAACTACACCTGCATATTATGATTCTCATAAGTAATACTGAGCAATTGAAATCAGTCACGAAAGGATATATATCGTATCATTTCTGTAAATGTAAAGAAAAAACAGGCAATCTTAAACTACAGTGTTTAGAGACGCATGCTTAAGTGGTTAAACTATAATAAAACAAAGAAGATTATCCCAAGAGTTCTAAGAGTGATTGCTCTGTGGGGGAAGGAGAAGTGTGTTAGTAGGAGGCAAGGGAGGCTTCAGGGGTCTGGAAACACTTTTTTTTTTAAGACTTATTTGTTTTAAAGAGAGAGAATGTGCACAAGTAAGGGAAGGGCAGGGGGAGAGGGAGAGAGAGAATCCTAAGCAGACTCCATGCTGAGCACAGAGCCTGATGAGGGGCTTAATTTCATAACTCTGAGATCCTAACTTGAGCTGAAATCAAGAGTTGGACACTTAACTGAGCCATCAAGGCACCCCTGTGTATTTTATTATCAGTACACATTTGGGTTGTCTCCAATTTTGCTCTATTGTTAGTAAATACTGCTGCTACAAGCATCTTTGTACATATCTCCTGATAACACATGTATACAAATTTTTGTTGAGTATATACCAAGCTCTGGACATGTTTGCACATAGGTTTGCATATCTTCAGCTTTCACAGATTACACTAAACTACTTTTTTTAAAGATTTTATTTATTTATTCATAGAGACACAGAGAGAGAGAGGCAGAGACACAGGCAGAGGGAGAAGCAGGCTCCATGCAGGGAGCCCGACGTGGGACTCAATCCAGGGTCTCCAGGATCACGCCCCGGGCTGCAAGCGGTGCTAAACCACTGTGCCACCGGGGCTGCCCTACACTAAACTATTAAAAAAAATTTTTTTTTAAGTAATCTCTATGTCCAACATGGGGGCTCAAGCTTATAATCCTGAAATCAGTTGTTGCATGCTCTACTGATTGACCCAGTCAGATGCCCCCATTTATATGTATTGTTTTTTAAGATTTTGTTTATTTACTTGACATAGAGCACAAGCCAGGAGAGGGGAAGGCAGGAGAGAGGCAGGTAGAGGAGCAGGAAGAGAGAGAAACAGGCTCCCTCCCACTGAGCAGGGAGCCTGATGTGGGACTCAATCCCAGGACCTGGGATCATGACCTGAGCCAAGGGCAGATGCTTAATCAACTGAGCCATCCCAGCACCCCAGTATGTATTCTTTAGTGAACTGTCCAGTGCTTTTGTAGAGTCTTCTACTGAGTTGTCTTTTCTCTTTTTATAGAAGTTTGAAAAAAATATTCTAGATGCAAGAACAATTTTAAAAAATCTTCCCTCCCTCCCAACAGCAAAAACAAAAGAATATTCAAATGCCTAGTCAGAATCAAACACCAAGTGTACAGAGATAGACACATGCTATTGCTATTTTATTTACAAACTTACCCTGCTCAGAGTCTTCCAGCAGAACCCCTCTTTTAACCAGCTCTTCTCTTGGTTTTCGCATAGATATTTTTCGCTCTAAAACTAATATTAAATTGGAAAATAGCACTCAGAAATATGGCAATTAAAGGTTAATTTTAAGCATTCTAACCCAATAGGTAAAAGAACAAAGTGGTTCGATTTTCTATTCTCTGGAACAGGAAAGCTAACTTCAAATTTAAAAACTAAATTTCTTTCATAGCCTACATTATTGGGAGAGCAGCATTTCCAAAAGGAACTACTCTTATATAATTTTAGCTCTTTTTTCATTGGCATTTTAATAATAAAGGTATCTATGGGTGAACTTTTTCTGAAAGTGGTCAGAGTAGAAAACTACCATTTAGGAACTCCATTCACTCACTACCTGATAAACTTTAATCCCATCAAAATAGCAATCTGGGATGAGGTTATCATATATAAGGCTTAAGTGAGTGACCACTTGGTTTTATTTCTAAAGACTGAATTCCCTCTTCAAATAGCAGGTTATAGAAGCTCGGGAAGAGAATGAGAAAGGTAGTTCTAAAATAAGAAACCCATTAACCCAGAACATATATTTAAATCTTAATATCTCACCTTCTGAGGTCTCTTTGAATTTATCACTACTTTTTTTTTTCCGCCATTTCCAGGGCTTGAAGATCTTGCCAAAGCCTGAGAACTTGCTCTTCCTTTTGGTGGGAGGCGTTGTGTCTCCTGCTTCCACACTGTCCATGACCATGCCTGGGTCTGCAGTGGGGTGGCTTGCTTCTTCTGTAGTATGGTGAAAGGCACATAGGGAAAAGAACAGCCAATTTATTATTTCAGCATAATCTCTAAAAGGTCCCTTCCCCTCTCTTCCTGTGGTAGTTGGAAAGGATCAGAGCAATGATAAACAATCATGCAGACAGATTCCTTGACATCACATGGACACCAAACATCAAAATCCGTAGCAGATAAATTACTAAGAGGGAAAAGGAACCAAAACCAAGCTGATGTCATTTTAGGACAAAAATTCAATGAGATGATCATAACCAGCTTAAAATCTCTTAAAGGCGCATACACACACAAATGTGGATGTCTTCAATATGCATGAGATCTTGCCCCAGAGTGGCTTACTGCTGTTGCCATTCTCATCCTTTTGGCATGGGGGAGGCCTTCCCCGACTAACATTACTGCCTCTGGTATCATGAAACAGGGAGATCCATCTTTAGTGGGTGAGTCATCATTCTCTACTAAACGCTGCTCTCTCCTTACCCTCCTCTTTCAGGTCATTTATAGTTCAGAGTGGGTAACACATTAAGTGTTAACACTTTACATGCATCGGTTTTTCAGATTATTTTTGCCCTCACAAGACCCTAAGTGGAGCACTGGAGGGAGCCTGGGGCTGGGGCATTACAGAGAGTGCTTTAAAATGAAATCGTTTTGGAAAGTAGAGCTGGGATTCCAGTTTGCTTATCACAATAATACTTTAGGGACAATCATGATCTTAAGGATATGATGAAAAAACATAACTGACATGGTTTATGTGCGGGACTGAAACGAAAGGCCATGAAATCTCTCATAATGACCACACATGCAGGGTTTAGTTAGTTAGCTTTAGTGGCAGATAAAGGAGCAGCCAAGACTGGGCCAAAAATAATAATAATAAAAAATAAATAAATAAAAGCAGGAAAGCAACAAAAAAAAGCAGGAAGGCAACACAATACAGCTTTGCACTCCACCTACTGTCCCAGGGTTCTCTGGAGAAGTCTAGAGGAGAAGAAAAAAAGAGTCATGTGGAATAACCATCCTGGAATTAAAGCGGAACCTTTACTTTACAGAAATACATCAAGGACCACATACTATACTATCACATGCAATAAGTTAACATGTTTATTGTGCACAATTTTCTCATCTGAGGCCAATAACTCTTTTTTTGGGGGGGGAAAGTGGGCATAATATATGCACTAAAAGTTTCTTTTAAAACTATAGTTTTTCATAAAAGAAAATGCATAATTGACAAGCATGTATTTTTTTTTTTAAGAAAGACTTGCCAAATTCAACCTTTTTTCAGTTGATAGACATGAATCTTGGGAAGCCTGTTGATGAAAGTCAGATTTACACAACTGTAATTATCAGAGTGACTGCAGCAGTGACTGCTGGATGCGTTATTTTGCTGTATATTGATGACTTAGGCAAAACAGGGTTCTGGTTACTGAAGTGCAACAGATGGAGACGAGAGGACAATGACTCTTTTCTTCCTACTTGGATGATTTACTTGAACACATCCTGGGCCTCAACTACTTTATTTTATTTTATTTTATTTTATTTTATTTTATTTTATTTTATTTATTTATTTATTTATTTATTTATTTATTTATTTATTTAAGATTTTATTTATTCATGAGGAACAGAGAGAGAGGCAGAGACACAGGCAAAGGGAGAAGCAGGCTCCACGCAGGAGCCTGACGCAGGACTCGATCCTGGGTCTCCAAGATCGCACCCTGGGCCGCAGGCGGTGCTAAACCGCTGTGCCACCGGGGCTGCCCAGCCTCAACTACTTTAATTCCTTCCATGAAATGCAAGAGAATTTGGTTATCATAATGCCGGACCATATTTTTATAAGTTTACTTGCCAGAGACATCAGAACAACACCTGTCACAACAATTTCCCATCAGTGGTACCCTGGGATGGCCCCTCAGGAGTGGCGCATGGGTGAATACATGAATAAGAATCAGTGCTTTAAGACAGTATACACCCAATTATGAAATATCAATGAGACCTCAAGACACTTTAGATATATCATATAATATTTAGCATATGTTAATGATAACACTTTCAGAAATGGAGCTAAGCATCATAAGGTGTTCATAGTCACCTTACTTACTGGAAGCAAGGAGGAACTGAAATGTGAAATATCCTGCTAACCCGTCCACTAAATGGACTTTACTCAGTTCCAAATGGTACACAGGAAAATGCCTGTTTGATTAAAAGTAATAGGGAAGATAATATAAAAACTCAAGAAACAAAACCAAACCACTAACAATAGAAAGAAGGGTGAGTGCTTTGTGACACTTTTACAAAGAAAAATAGCCAGAAAGCTTTAGGAGTGTTAGGTGAGAATGGATCACAGTCCTGTCTGCCAATTCCCTCAATGAGATTCAGCAAGTCTAGCTTGCTGCCAGTATCTTGCCAGGTATCTAACCTAACCACTTTCTAAAGCCAAACTTCGGTCATCCCTTTTAATCTTTTATTGAACGACGTATTTAGGTATCCCCTTTCTCTTGTACATCCAAAACAATAAAATCATGGTATCCTTTCAAACATATTCATGTCTACTGGCATTTGAGCTCAAGGTAAATTCAGTTAATGTTCAAAAGTACAGTATGTGTGGAAAATACCAACAGCTATGATAAAAATGACTATGTCCGCCATCACATCTATTAAGAACAGCCCTCCTCTTTCTTTGTGTAAAGAAAGTTACTGAATATAGTCGCTAAATACCAAAACCAGGGACAACAGCTATTTATCCTCTGATGTTTATGCAAATATGCTTAATTTTCATGTTTATAAAACTTGTATTTTTTTTTTTTTTAGTTTTCGAGACAGAATGCATAGGTGCGTGAGGGAGGGCTAGGAATAGGGGCAAAGGGAGAAGGAGAGAGCATCTTGAGCGTGGAGCACATCGCAGGGATGCATCTCATGACGAGATCCTGACCTGAGCCTGAGTTGGACACTGAACTGACTGAGCCATCCGGGCATCCCCAAGTTTATAAAACTTTTAGAAGAGGATATGCCTCTTGACTCATGCAGTGGGGGATTCGGCCACAACCAACCCTGACCTGGTTATTACCCAAATTCATTCACTCTTATATATTCTCATATTTTCCACGTTCCTCACCTCCATAGGACAGACATTATTACAGTAAATCCTAATCTGTTCAAATGTTTGATATTAGCCTGGTTGCCTTTTCAAAATACAGAATCTGGGATCCCTGGGTGGCGCAGCGGTTTAGCACCTGCCTTTGGCCCAGGGCACAATCCTGGAGACCTGAGATCGAATCCCATGTCGGGCTCCCGGTGCATGGAGCCTGCTTCTCCCTCTGCCTATGTCTCTGCCTCTCTCTCTCTCTGTGTGTGACTATCATAAATAAATAAAAATTAAAAAAAAAAAAAAACAAAATACAGAATCTACAGGTAGCGGGACCCAGGAATATGGTTTTAAAAATCTTCACAGGTGACTCTTATGATCAGTCAGGTTTGTTAAATCCAATCCCAGGTTATTATCTGCAAACCTCATGTTCAAAGAGACAGAGGCAGACCGTTCTCTGTAACCTAATTTTTTGTTGAAGAAAAACAAACTAGAAAATCATGGCACCATTTCAGTGTTTCCTACTTAGGTATTCCTCCCCCCCCCCCCACTTAGGTATCCCTACACAAAAACTATAAGGGTCTTTCCTGAGCCTCTTAGCCTCAGATATAGCTTAAATTACAACAGAAAAACAATAAAAAAAGTTTTTTATTATTCTTCTTCCAAATTGTTTTTTTCTTTTTTAAAGATTTTATTTATTCATGAGAGACACACACACACACACACACACACACACACACACACAGACACAGAAACACAGGCAGAGAGAGAAGCAGGCTCCATGCAGGGAGCCCAATGTCGGACTCCATCCCGGGACTCCAGGATCACCACCTGGGCCGAAGGTGGTGCTAAACCGCTGAGCCATCCAGGGATCCCCTCTTCCAAATTGTTAATGTACACCTGGAAACATGGTATATTGTGCAGTTGAGGATAGTATCTACATCTGCCAATGAAGTCAAGTCGTTTAATCACATTGTACAAAATCATTAACATCCTTTCTGACTGGTTAGCTTTTTCTGTCAATTACTGAGAGGTATGTTAACAACTCTATATATAATAATGGATATATTTCTTTCTCTTTTTAGTTCTATTAACTTTTTTAAAGATTTTATTTATTTATTCATGAGACAGACAGACAGACACACACACACACACAGAGGCAGAGAAACAGGCAGAGGGAGAAGCAGGCTCCATGCAGGGAGCCCGATGTGGGACTTGATCTCGGGACTCCAGGAACACGTCCTCGGCCAAAGGCAGGCACTAAACTGCTGAGCCACCCAAGCATCCCAGTTCTATTAATTTTTTGCTTTAAATACCATAAAGCTATGTCTTGGGTATATATAGATTTAGAGTTATTACATCTTTCCCTTAAATTACCCTTTTATCATTATGAAATTCCCTGTGTCAGTATAATAACTTTTGCCTTAACTTTGTTTTTCTATCTAGTTTGACAATTGTTATCCTTGAGTGTTTAGTCCACTTATATTTTTTACTGATGCTTCTTTGCTATTTATTTTCTATTGGTCTGATTTGTTTCTGTGCATTCTTGACTTACTACAATACATTGTTAGTACTTTACTTAATAATGCAAGAATCTGGGCAGCCCCGGTGGCGCAGCGGTTGGTTTGGTGCAGCCTGGGGTGTGATCCTGGAGACCCGGGATCAAGTCCCACATCGGGCTCCCTGCATGGAGCTGCTTCTCCCTCTCCCTGTGTCTCTGCCTCTCTGTGTGTCTATGAATAAATAAATAAAATCTTTAAAAAAAATAATGCAAGAATCTTACAACATTTCAACTCATTTATACTCTGTTATATTTTATTTCAACATACACATAACAATAAACCACAGCAAACATTATTATTGTTGTTCTCACAAATGATAGTCTTTTATATTTCCTACAAATTTGCTTTCTCAGGTACTC